AAAGAGAAAGAAAGAAAGAAAGAAAGAAAGAAAGAAAGAAAGAAAGAAAGAAAGAAAGAAAGAAAGAAAGAAAGAAAGAAAGAAAGAAAGAAAGAAAGAAAGAAAGAAAGAAGGAAAGAAGGAAAGAAGGAAAGAAAAAGGACACTGCTATTACAGTCAGGAAACCTTCTGATTCCTTGCACACCCCATGCTGACAGGAGCTGAATGAAGGAGATGAGGAGACTCAACATAAAGCAAGCAAAGCCAGACTAAGGAGGCAGAAGGACACTTCAGGACAACAGAATCTACTGTTCTGAAAAGAACTACACCCAAAACAAAAGCTGTGAACAATGGATGTTGCAAAACAATGATATGCAGAATGACATTCATTTTCTTAGTCTTGCCAAGTCTCACCATCTCCTACACTTTTGTCAAGTATAGAGGATATTTCTTTCAGAAAATTCACCTGTCTGCCCGCCATTCATTTCAGATACAACACATATTTTAAAGTTAACATTACAAGCTGAACATTAGCAGGGATGTCCTGCATCCATTCTGACGGAAACTGACCTGGTGACCCAGCTCTGAGATAAGACACAGTAGCTGGGAAGCTAGTCACAACAGTGAGCCAGAAAAAGGAGAGAGAGAACTCTTGAATCTTTTTTTTCCCAAGTTCATTCATAATGTTGCAAAAAAAGAAAAAACCGATAATATCACACACAAATTTGTCTATCTGAACGTGCACACAAAGAAAGCCTGGACTTGCAAGGCTTCAGCTGCTCAGTTCTTAACGCTGGAATACAAAATAGGAGCCAACTTCATGATGTGCAACAGAAACAAGTTCTTAAGAAGATACACACCAAAAGTGGATTGTCTGTCTTCAATCCACTTCAGAGCCCAGTCTGCTTTCTTCTTGACACAAGGCATTGTTTCAATAGCATTAAATAAGAAATCTCTACAAAAGAAAAGAAAGAGAACACCAGAATAATAAAGCAAAGAATGGATTTACGCTATTACGCTATAAGCTCTGAAATTATCCAAGTAGGAGTTCCTGCCCTGAAGGGATGATGACAACAAGAGGCAGAACAGGGAGGCAGATGTGCAGAAAGTGGTGTACTCAAGGTCTCAGAGAAGCTGCAGAGATGGGAACACAAACCCCCAATGCCAGTGGGATCATCCACCAAACTCTGCTGGCTCTCAGACCAAGACAGACAGCAGCATGACCCTGCTCAAGGAGATAACCCTCACCTCTCCCAGTTCCACAAAAGGAATCAGACAGGTCCCACAGGCACAAAATCTGTTCCCATGCTAAGTATCTCAGAAAACCTTGCAAACTTCCTGCTAGCCCTGTACTGTGGGGTTGCAGGACACTATTTCAACACACAGGATGCCACCGTGGGAAACCGAGCTCTGTCTGACCATCACCACAATGGCATTTCTGATGGAAAGTACTTTTTTCCAAATGTATTATCTTTTCAACTAGGCACATCTGCAGACCACAAAGGTGTAGGGTCTCTCCAAACAAACCAGTTCTTTAAAAATAAGTCGCTCTTGTTGCGTGGAAAAGCAACTGATGACAAAAAAGCTGAAAGGAAGCAAGGCACTGATCAACATATGTTACAAACGGCAGTTACAAGTAGCTCTGGAGCACAATAACCACAAGGAGGCTGTTTAATGCTTAACAGAGTTTCACAGTCTGCACTGCCTGCAATCACAAATATTAACCAGCCTTTTGAACACTCCTAAGGAAGGTCATCGGTCAGTAACACTTCCCTTCATTTTGGGGGCCAGGAGCGATGGCCCAGAAAGCTCTAAGAAAGCTCTCCAGTAAGTCAATGTGAAACAAAAAACTAGCTGTTACCACCCAGCCACAGAGCCACCAGACTAGCTGAAAGATTTCCCTTGGGGCTGCAGCACATTCAGAAACTTACCTTTTCTCAGGATCTTTGATGTAAGTGTCTATCAGCAAGCTGTACATCTCCGAGTGAACGTTCTCAATGAGGATCTGGAAGCCATAGAAACAACGAGCTTCTGGGATCTGCACCTCCTGACTAAAGCGTGCCACCTGCCAAAACCAAAAAGCATGACAGCGAGTACAGCAAAACTGGTGCAGCATCAGCCAAACAAGAGAGACAACAGACCTGTGCAACAGAGAAGGGAAGGGAGCAATTCAGCCCTACTTTATTAACAAATATGTCAGTAGGATAGGTGTGGCAAATAGAGAAAGCCAGCTAGAAGTAAAGATGCCTGCTACGCATACTGTGTAAGAACTGCAGTGATGTGTGATGGCACACACAGGAAGAATAGAGCAAAATGCTGCAGCAGTAAAAACTTCATAGCAAACAAAGCCTCACACTTTCTGTTCACCATTAAGAAGTAAATAGTATGACATATTCATGCAATATATAAAAATTTGTTATCATATAATCTATGTTACAGATACTCAAGATCTAAAATGAGCATTTCTGGTCTAACAACAACCTGCAGTGAGACATTCTGCAGCCCAGAAGTGATTTCAGCAGAAAGGTTTCCCCATCATTTCAAAAGCACCCACCCATAAGCCTGAAATATTCCAGGATGCCATTTAGTGAGAGCAAAATGAGTTTTACCTAAATAAAGAACACAGAGCATGGCACAGCACAATCAGCTGCTACTTCTCATCTAACGCAGGTATGTGAAGAAGCGTGGGGTCTACTAATTCACCAGTAACTGCAGATGAACACAGGCACAAGTCTGAGCTTCAAAACTGTGTTCAAGAGGCGTCATTTGGAGTCCTGCTGACAACAGTGGCTCCAATGTATCTCAGACAATGAGCAGAACAAGCTGCCTACTTCCTTTGGCAAAGGTGAGACGATGGGAAGATAAATACACTCATTTAACAATCTTATGCATTAATATGAGAAAACCAAACTGAAAAGCCAATAGCTAATAAAGTAAGTATTCAAACTGTAAGGCTTTCTCACCAGATTCTCATTTACAATTCCATCACTGGCTGCAAAGAAGGCGAGAACATGAGAGATAAAGTACTTTTCGTCTGGTTTTAGCTTGTTCCAGTGAGGAAGGTCCTTTGATAAATCAACCTAATGAAAAGAGATAGTAAAAAAAAGAAAAAAAATGTTACCATCCCTTTAGCTTGTTATTCTGTAGGAACAAAAGTGGCCTCGTCAAACAACTGAGACAGAGCTTTGGCACTGGCTTTCACAATCTTTGCATGCAGAGAATTTAAATATGTGCAACTATCAAGCACGACAAACAGCTGCAGTACTGCTGCCTCTCTGCAACAGCAACATCCTGTGTTTGCTTTGCAGTTTACACTATTGTAATTCAATATATATTGTTCTTATTCCACGTTATAAATAAACCAGATTCCAAAAAGCATCAGTGTCTTGCTGGCATGAGTATGAATATGCATCAACAAGCAGATCTCTCTCTGAGACATGTACAAACTCTACTTGAAATAAATGCTGGTACTGCAAGAAACCTATGCCTAAGTGTGCCAAAAGACACATGGAAGGCAACGCTGCCCTTGACAGGTGTTCAGCCTCCAGGCCACCCCAGAAGAGCGTGTGTAGATACTGTGGAACTGCACTGCCTGTGACACTTGGTTCTCACCATGGCAGAAAACCACGAGCTCCTTAGCACTGGCCATCTTTCTTTGTCTGTTTGTTTCTGAGCCGCAGCAGCAGTTAACCAGGACCAGATGGGAAAACTGCAGCAAGGCCTAAAAAAGCTTTTAGAATTGTGTGTGCGTGTGTACAATTTATGTACAAATATATATGCATGCTCATGCATGAATACACACACAAACCAATTTCACGTCTAACTTTCCAATTCATTTGGAAATGTGATGACAGATGGGAGGACAGTGGAAGAAGGAACCAGCAATGAGTAGTGCTAATTCAGGAGTTTCAGTGCTTCATAACTGTTTAAATCAACTTCTACTGACATCAGACAGCAGCCTCCCCAGCGGGCAATGGAATGAAGCCTACACAATATTGCTATCCCTGGATGCTTTCTGGACTAGAGTCTGTCATTCCTTACCAATTGCAGAATTCTGCTCACAGATGAACAAAGACTACAGAAGCTTTGAGCTGCAACAAGCTGCTCACCTGGCACATAATCCATGCAAATCCAGAAGTCTCCATTTCTGCAAGTGCAGTGAGCAAGTACTGCTCAGGTCAATACTGGCTAATCAGCAGTCTCAAGGAAAATGACATGCCCTAACTCACAGTCAGTTCCAGCATGGCGACAAACATCTAACCAGGGCACTCACCAGCAAATTACATGCACTGTTAGCAAGTATTTCTGATTACCACCACCATTCTGAAAAACAAGTGCCTAATATTAAAGAGCAGCATTCTCATGAAATTGCTCACAGCCTTTTACATGAGCAAGGAGGTAGCTGCAGGCACAGTGATCACAGCAGGTCACAGTCTTACACAGGCTCCCTCTATACCCAGAGAAGTGCCCCAGGATACAATTCCACCTGATCCTAAACCAAACACTCAAACCAGGCAGCTGAGCCACCTGAAGGAAGCAGCTTTCCTTCCACTGACCCTGAAGGGAGTCCTACTCTGGTCCAGGCGCCTCACATTCAATAAAATTAACCCCAACCCATACAAAACACAAGCCAGCAGCAGAGCTAGGAGTGACACTCCAGGCTCCATATCCCAGAGCTCACCTCTTCTGCCGTCCAAAAGGAAGCCTGGGCCTGTTTGTACATCTTCCATATGTCCGGGTGCTGGATGGGGAAGATGACGAACCGACGAGGATTTTTTCTGAGAAGAGGCTCCTCGTGAAGTTTCAAGCCATTTTCACTTGGAGAGGAGCTCTAAAATAAAGCTCAATCCTGGTTAAGGCTGCTGTTATTATTCCCTGCTTTTCCCTCTGTCACAAAAATACAGCCCCAAAGTCCAATGTCTCAGGCAGACACTCACCCATTCCCCACAGGCAGCTGCATCACCCTTCCCTAGGGTGCTCACCCCTTCGCCTTCCATCTGTGCCCTGCTCAGGCAGCAGCACTGCCTTCCTGCCCTGCTCTGTCCTGCAGCTCTCACATCAACCAGTCCCTGAGCAGCTGCACCTTCTCAAGTACCAAAGCGAACACTCTTCTGCAGTATGAGGAGGAAACTGCAGCTGCACTTGCACTGCGCCCTCAAAAGATGCCATCAAACACGGTGGGGAGGCATGCAAGGCAACAGTGCTGCCCAACGGCTCCTCAAAGCCAGCCTGCACCTGGCATCACACATCCCTATTCTGCTCCCTACCCCCAGTGTGCTGTTCCTGCACCATTCAAAAAGCAGCACGCAGGGCCCATCATGTAGAAAGATAACCTGGAAAATATTTCTGGTGTATGGAAGTGGAGGGAAGGCACAGCAAGAAAACTGGAGATTAACACTGAGGCAAGAGTGTGTGCCTTTCCCAGTGGCCTCTAACAGCATGCCAGTAGTGCTGTAAGCACATGGCACAAAAAGGTAACAGAAGAAGCGGGCCAGGAAGCAGTATACACAGACTGGAGAGTCCCAGTGGCAGGGAAATGGAGCATGGCTACCAGGACCTAAAGGCTCACAGTGAGAGCTCCCCAAAAAGGACCAAACTGCAGAATTAGAAAGTGATAACAGTTTAAAAAATAGTTATACTTTTAAAAAATGTAAGAACAAGCTGGATGTGGCTCTGGGGAGCCTGGCATAGTTGGCCCTCATGGCAGGGGAGTTGAAACTAGGTGAACTAGATGATCTTTGAGGTCCTTTTCAACCCAGGCCATTCTATGATTCTATGAACAAGGAAGAATTGGTCCACAGAGAACACACCATGCTGGGGACTCCCTCTCTGTGCACTCTTGATATCATCTAAGCTCTTCTGAGGATGGAGTATTGCACACATGCTCTGTCTCTGTGCTCACAGGAGGCAAATTCTACTGTGACATAGTGCTGTCTCTCAGTTCTGAACTCTATTCCTACAAGCAAAAATTTTATCAGAGTAATACCGGCCACCAAGCCTGTTCATTAACTTGGTATATCCCCTGGTACCACCCAGCTGCATGGACGACTCTCCAATTTCTACTTCTGTGGTACAGTAGAAGCTGATCACTGCCAAGGCTCCCCTTGCTGCCCCCTTGTGCAACAGGAGCATGACACAGTTCCAGTCCTGCCTTTCTGACCCCAAGAAAGCAGTGGGGGAACACAGAGCTGGGGAGGTTATCTTCACACAGCCAGTACACCTCCTGCTTCCATTCAGCACTCCGGGCTCTTTCCTTTAACTCATGGAGGTGTACAAAGTACAGTCAGTAGGTTGCTCAAGGCAGTGTCCAGTTGGCAGTCTGAGTCGAATGATGAGAACTCCGCAACCCCACTGTGCAACCTGTGCCAGTGTTTGACCCCCTGAACAGCAAGAAAGTGGGTTTTTAATGCACAAGTGGAACCTCCTGTCACTGCCTCCTGCCCCTCACTGAGGAGAATCTGACTCCATTTCCTCTATTTTCTCCAAGCAGGCTGAGCTCTCCCAGCCTCACGGTGTCTGACAGAGGTTCCACTCTACATTCCTAGCCTTTCACCAAACTCCAGTTATTCTGCAACTGTTGCAGGTTAAGTGCTGCTAGTGAAGTCAATAAACCCAACAGATAACGAAGATTGCCTAGTGGTACTGAAATTCTTTCCATGAATTTCATATTCAGCACACTAGGAAAATATTAGTATATATACACAGAAAATCACTGCCTTATAGTAGTAACTGCTGGACTATACATGCAGGTATCTCATAGAATCATAGAACGGTTTGGGTTGGAAGGGACCTTGAAGATCATACAGTTCCAACTCCCTGCTATATACGGGGACACTTCCCATTAGACCAGGTAGCTCACATCCCCCATCCAGTCTGGTCTTGAGTACTTCCAGGGAGGGGGTACCTACAACCTCAGTGGGCAACCTGTTCCAGCGTCTCACCACCCTCACGGTAAAGAATTTCTTCCTAACATCTAATCTAAATCTGCCCTCTTCCAGTTTAAAGCCATTTCCTCTCATTGTGTCACTACATGCCCTTATAGAAAGTCTCTCCCCAGCTTTCCTGTAGGCCCCCTTCAGGTACTGGAAGGCCACTATAAGGTCTCCTCAGAACCTTCTCTTCTCTGGGCTAAAAAGACACAGTTCTCTCAGCCTGTCCCCATATGAGAGATGCTTCAGCCCTCTGATCATCTCTGTGGCCCTTCTCTGGACCTATTCCAACAGCAACATGTACTTCTCGTGTTGGGGGCTCCAGAACTGGATGCAGTGCGCTCCAGATGGGGTCTCACAATAGAAAAGTAGAGAGGCAGAATCACCTCCTTCAACCTGCTGGTCACTTCTCTTGATGCAATCCAGGATACGGTTAGCCTTCTGCGCTGCAAACATATGTTGCTGGCTCATGTTGAGTTTTTCATCAACAGACACCCCCAAATTCTTCTCCTCAGGGCTGCTCTCAAGCCATTCTCCACCCAGCCTGTATCTGTGCTTGAGATTGCCCTGACCCAGGTGCAGGACCTTGCACTTTGCTTTGTTGAACTTCATGAGGTTGGCATGGGCCCACCTCTCAAGCCTGTCCAGGTCCCTCTGGACATCCCTTCCCTCTAGCGTGCCAACTGCACCACTCAGCTTAGTGCTCTAAGCAAACTTGCTGAGGATGCACTCAATCCCACTGTCCGTGTTGCCCACAAAGACACGAAACAGCACCAGTCCCAGCACCAATTTCAGCTATGTGCCTTGCATTAGTTACAGCAAAGGAAGAGAAAGAAGAGCACCTGTGATACAACAGGTCCATGTCTAAAAAAATCTCTTGGGATGCACAAGGAAACATGCCTTCCATGCTGCCCTATAAGCCACAGTCTCCCAAAGGCCTGGGGCAGCGCTGGGCAGTGGAGGCTCCATGTGCAGCAGATGGGTTTACCTGACCAGGCAGATCCCCTGCACCCCAGAGGAAAGAGCATAGCTCTGCTAATTGTTTCTGGCAGGCCAGAATAAGCCAACTGCATTAGGGGAACAGCACAGTACTGATTAAAGAAATAAGCGTGCGTGTACAGATGTCTATTTCAGGCTTGTATTTAATACAGCACATCCCCGTTTCCATCAGCTCAGGTACGGCCGGAACCCAGCCTTTGGAAGGCCAGGTGTATTTCTGCCCACACACCATCAGCTTCACGCTCTCAGGCCCGGCTGTGCAGACCGTGCCCCGAGGACGCAGAAAGGGCCTCGGGCAGCTCCCCAGCAGAGCCCTTCAGGCCCGCAGCGGTAAGGACGGGGTTCTCCCCGCGCTTTCCTTCCCGCTCGCACTTCCCGACACGGAGGCCAGCCGCGCGGGCAGCCCACGGAACCCCGAGGCCGGGCCGGAGGCTGGGGCCGAATCCCCTGCAGCCGCACAACGAGCCGCCCGCAGCGCCCAAGGCGGCCTGCCGCAGCCCTCCCGCAGACACGGCTCAGCGCCCCGCCCGCCCTTACCCGCTCCGGCCCGGCCGCCTCCCGCAGGGCCGCTCGCCCCCGGCGCTCCCCCATGGCCCCGGCGACTGGGCCGCACGAGCGCCGGCTGAGGGCGGAACGGCCGCGGCCGCCCCTCCTCCGCGAGGCGGAGCCCGGCAGGCGCAGCCCCGGCCAGGCCCGGCCCTACCCGGCGCGGCGTTCCCCGCCCGAGCCGAGCCCTGCCTCCGGCAGGAGTGCCGCCCTGAGCGGGCTTCGGCGGCGCGACAGCGCTGACAGCCAGCGGGAACCCTCAGGAAGACGGCATTCTTAGCTGGCGCCGGTACATCGCCTGAAAGCGTCAGCTAGCGGATAAACGCTAAAAAGCGCGTAGCAGAACCCCATCAACCCGTGCGACAACGAAACCTACATCATTTTTTTTTTAATCTTGATACAGACCTCAGAATACCTCAGAATAAATTAAAGCAATCGTGTTACAGACGTAGTTGCTCCCAGCTGTAAAACTCTCGCCCCTTCCCCTGGACTTAATTGCAGGGCTTGTGAGAGCAAGCAGCGAGAGTGAAAGCACTGCTCAAATGTTTGTGTCATTTATTGCAAGTCACTTCTTACGAACAGAGATTTCTGCAAGAGATTGTAATTGCCAGAGTTCGTTTGTTTCCTTGTCCTTGTCTCCAGGCTGGCCAGGCCCTTGGGCTCCAGTTCCTGTGGATGCACAGGGCATTTGGCAACACAATCCCAGGGAGGCGGGAGAAAGAAAAAAGAAAAGCCCTGCTCCATACAGCAGGGACTGGTTTGGTACAACGGTTTGAAATTGGACAAAATATGAAAGCAAACACCACTGAGAAAGAAAAATAGTTGACAAGCACCCAAGACAGTTAGCTGACACAGATCCAGGACTGAGCCGCTCTGTAAAAGTGGAGAGGAACACTTAAAGTGCCAGGAATAGACACTTGCGGAGGAGGATGTGGAGGTCTGATGTTCCTCATGGAGAACAGTCCGCACTCACTGCACCATCCCCATCACCACTGCCCGGTGCTCTTGAGTCCAAGTGGCTGCTGGTCTCAAGCATAGAACAGGTTTGGTTTCCTTAAATGGAGTTTTCTGACAAGAAACACATGCCTAAGTGTCACATCACTAAACAGCATACCAGAATATATAACAAGCATAAAATGAGAGAATACACTCTTATACAAACATTTGCTGTTACCGGACTACTGTTCTTTTTGAGTCAGTTTTAAAGTTTCATTGCCCAAACGTACCCACACATGCTGTCTAATGTCTGTGTTCAACTACAGCTCCATTATTATACACACCGAGTACCAGGGATTCCATTTCTTCATCCAGAGCAAATGATGAGAGGAACTCTGAGTTGGAGCAAGCCCAAACGACCCATCGACACCAACAAATTTCATTGGTGCATCCAATACAGTGCTGATTTCCCAGGAACTCATGCTTCCCCCTCAACAAGAACAAGCACCAAAACTCAAGTGCCAATCAATCATACTATTTAGACTGACCTTCCTAGTGATAATTCCCGCTCTCCACCCCTAAATCCAGTCACCCCCAAATTAGGGACTGTCTTGAAAAACCTAACCATACCAACAATTCATGTAATTAAAAACAGAAAGGACTTTGAATATTTAGGGATAATTTCTTAAAGACACACCTCCCCTTCTACAGATGCCCAGCAAACATCTATTTACACAGTGCCTGAAGAATAATAGAGAGGAAAACGCGGCAAAGGACATGTACCGTGGAAGAGAGGACTGAAGAACAGCAGTTGGCTCCTCTCACATCTCCACAAGAATCCACCAACTTCTGTCAACTTCATATAAATTAATTACATAATGTACTCGATAATATAGGAAAGCACTTGTGGAATAGTAGGATAGTTCACATCCAAATTAAATACATGTAGCATTATGCATGGCTTTGCTGTACTGTTCTATTGAAAACATCACCGGGTGAATGGGATGTTTTCCTCCTTCAGCTCCTAACCTACTTGGTGGCACAGCAGCAGAACTCAGGGTCATACCTGCTCTTTTTCAAGACAGCGTACAAGCACCAACTCAGTGTTCCTCTTACCATTGCACTGGACCAAGAAATGTAATCTCATGTTCTCTAAACTTTCAAAGATGTCTCCTGAAAGTGCAGGGGCATTATCCAAAGGAGCAGGATGAGGAAATCCA